GTTGAATCGCAACCTTTTGATGAACATATTATTATAAAAAAGGAATGCGTTGGTCATATTCAGTAATAGATGAATGCGCGATTTCGTAAAATAAAAAAAGACGCAAAAAGGACTTGGCGAAAAAGGAAAGCTCACAGGAAATCTAATCGATGAACTCAGTGTATACTATGGATTGGCTATTAGGAAAAATAAAGATTCCGTAAATGGTATGAAGGAAGCAATCTGAACTACTTTGTAACATAAATCTTCCACTGACGAAAATCCGCAACGACGATAATTGACGATAATTGTTTGGATCAGATAGTTGATGTATGTGACAGAAAGCAAAGGTTGACAATAAATTTGACGAATATATACATAAACAAGTATTGTCTGATATTGTTATTAAAGCTATTATTCCTATATATAAAGAATTAAGCAAGGACGATTTGTTACACCGCTGTTTGGGAGGCTTTACGCAAAACAATCGTGAAAGTCTAAATTCTGATTGATTTGGCCGTTTGCACTGAAACAAATATTTAACGGCATTAAAACCATAGAAATTGCTATATATATATTGCAGCTAACGTTTTTAATAAAGGCTACACAAGCATACTTTTAATGATGCATACGATGAGCAATTATTGTTCCGAATTCAGCTGCATTGGCGGAGCAATTTGACGACGCACACGTCTTCAAAAGTGAGGTGCAGATGTTTGTAGCATCTAAAGAAGGTCGAATCGAGCGACGAAAGAGCAGAGCAGCCTTGGAGGATGCTGCATTTATGAAGAAGGAGGTCTATCGTATGCAGGTATAGGTGATCGATGGTAAGACGCAAAAAACTACATGATATCAAGTTATCAGATTTTAAACGCGTTTTTCTCAAAACCATGTTTTTCAAGACGATGTACACGCTGTTTCAAGCTGTAATGATGGATTCACTTAATTGATGGATTCATTTAAAACCATTTGAACTACATATTCAGAAAAACAGTAGTTATCGCGTAACGGAGGTTATCTTTGTTGATAACATTTTTAATATTCAAATATATCAAAATATAATAACAATTAGAGTATCGAAAAAAGTAAAAATTTAAACATTCATATTTTTCTCAATTTTCAAAAAAAATGAAAAAAGGCTCCATCACGCAATAAAGAATACTTTACAGTTTATTAAACAAATCGATTTTTTTTGTTTCAGATCTATCAAAATGATGGAATCATGTACATTGTTTCCCGGCGCATTCAAAATCACTTTTCACGCAAATTGTTATAACTTTTTTAAATTTTAATAATTTTTAATAAAATTTGAACTACAACAAGTTAAATATGTACTAAAAAAGTTCCAAATCAGAAATTGCTAGCGTTTATGTTTATTTCGCAATTCAAGCCCAAAGAATCCGTTTTTTAAGCCGGTCAAACTGATCGTCTCCTTAAAAGGCATATTAAAACCGATTATAAATAATGATAATCAGATGTAAACTAGCTTATATTGAGTTTAATCCGCTAGCTTTAACAAGAGAAAAATCCTTCCAACTCGTTCTAATTGCGTAGTTCACCTTATATGTCCCATTTTAATGGACCACCTCATATATCCCTTAAATAGTGCATTTTAGAGAAAAATGTTTCAGACAAAAGTTTTATGGGGAGAACATATGATAATATCATTGGTTTGACCTTGGACGTGCCAAGGTCATAGAAATTAACTTTGTTTTTTAAATAGAAATCCTCACTTTTTATTACATATTTTTGTGTGTTACCTCGAGAATTTTCCAAAACAGTATAATAAAGTATTCTTTTAGCAAGTACTTTTTAAGTTATGAGACTTGAATTTGATATGCTTAAATTTGATATAATATAAAATATCTCGTAAACTATTCATTTTTTGGCAATTATATCTTAATACTTTTATAGACAGAATAATGAAATAAATCAATTGGTGTAAAGAAAATATATAATTATTTTTCAAAAAATATACGTCGTTGCATATTACAATCTTCATTTTTTATAAATAGCAACTCTGTTGCTGTATTGCATGCGCGCATGCTTGTACACTTGAGTTTCATAAATGAATGTGTATTTGTGTAAATGAGAAATTCAAATTAATCATTGTTTTCTGTGATGTAAACATCTATTCTATTTTGGAAAATATTGGTTGCTTGAAAAATGTCATCAGCGTCTAAGGATCAAATTGCTTTATTTATCGTACAAATCATATGTCATTAAGTTTCCAAATATGTTGATAATTTATTTCTTATGCTCTTAAACTAATGAGGATTAGTTTGTAAGAAATAGTGACAGAATTTTAAATATTAACAGATTCATGACGCATTTACAGAAAAAATTTTTAAGATAAAAGTTTTTTATTATTTTTGCGTAATCAAATTTGCAATAAAAAGTACATGTTACATTTAAAAAATTTAACATCCAGTCTGGATCGTTTTCGATTGAAACCGGAAGTTGAAAATATTACTCGATGTGCATTTGATTTACTTAATACTGAAATTTTTGAAAAATTATTTTATTTTAAAAGAATTGTATAGATGGTCTTAGACACTCTGTATGTTATACTATAATGCAAATATTTCTAATATTGTCTAATCATATCATATCATATTGTCTAATTTTATAATAATAATAACACAAATATGTAATTTTTATTATGTCTTTTTTATTTTTCCATCATATTTTTAATTAAATATATTTATCAATAACTTATTTGTCAATTTTGAACATGATAAAAATTTGTCATGATACAGTATATTGGTTATGTCTTCAGATATCCTTCAACGTAAGCATAGCATCTTTGGGTATGTTTCTGGGCAATGTGATGGGTCCTTACTTGTCCATGGAGATGTTCGCTTATGTGAGTCTCGTGCCGAATGTTCTCTTCATGATCCTCTTCAGTTTGATACCTGAATCGCCTTATCATTATGTTCTTCATGGCAATATCGATAAGGCCGAGGCATCTCTCAAGTGGTTCCAACGAGAAGCTGACATGAAAGCTAAAATGCAGGAGTTCCAGGATTTTGTTAATGGTGCCAATACCAGCATTTTAACAAAATTTAAGGACTTTTTATTACCAGGTATCCCGGAATTAGAATAAATTACTCTTAAAATGTATAATATATTATAAATATAAGTTTTGAAAACAAAATTAAAAATTAAAAAATTTGAGAACAAAATCAAAACAATGATCCAAAAATTTAAATAATTCTATATATCCTACGAGAAATTTTTTAAATTCAAGTTTTTTCATTTCCAACTTGAAGTTATAAAGAGAATTCATATGCTTCACATTTTGAGAATTCAGTATTCTTAAAATCTAAAGATTCGAAGTTGTTCAAACATTTAATATTTAAAAATTTTAATTTTAAATATTTGAGTTATCTAAAATTAGATAACTCAAAAATTCCAAAATTTAAAGCAATTTATAAGGAAAATTATTAGAAATTTCAATATTTAAACAAATCTTATTATCTATATAATTTATCTTTACCATCTTATAGAAAAAATCAAGAATTGATTGAGAATTGATGAATTGATCTTAATCTATAAATTAATTTTTGTTTGTTCCAGTGAATTTGAAAAACATCTTGATCTTGTTCGGCTTGAATCTTTTCGTTCAGACGAGCTCATTCACTACAATAAATGCCTATGCAGAGATCATCGTTATAAATGCTAAAGTGAACATCACTCCATCGATTGTGGTAATGGCGCTGTGTTTCTCCACGGTTGTCGCTGGTTTCATTGCTATTTTTGTGGTGGACAAGTTTGGTCGAAAGAATCTTCTAATACTTTCCAGCATTGGCGTTACTATTTCCTATCTCGCTCTTGGTCTTCACTTCTATCTTCTATCTTTGAATTTTGATCCCGAAAAACTAACATGGTTGCCGATCACATCGTTACTATCTTTTAATTTGTTCGTATCTTACGGCTTAGCCACAGTACCTAGCACTCTTCTGGGAGAGATGTTCCCGGCGAATCTCAAGAATTTAGCATCTCTTTGCATTTTTTCAACCAATGCCTTATTAACTTTTGTATTCGTTAAGTGCTTTCAGCCTTTTGTCAATTTGACTGGGGAAACAATTGTCTTTTGGAGCTATGGACTTTTTGTACTTGGAGCGGTGCCCTACGTAATGTATTTAATCCCTGAAACGACTGGCAAGAGCTTGCTGGAGATTCAGCAGTCCATTAAAAATAAATTATACGATTTATCAAAATCGAAATTATAATAAAAAGCTTTAAACTGCATTAATTTTGAGAAAATCTAAGAAAAAATTTGAAAATAGAATTGGAGCATAAAAACATTTCTGACATAAAAAGCACACTGTACATACAAATCAATTTTGCAACTAATTGTTATAAACAAATAAGTTTTTAAATAAACAAAGAATTTAAGAAAGAATTATATGGTTCTTTAATAATTTTTCTCGTAGAATCGATTAGTATCAGTTTTTTCTACAATCAATTTTTAAAAATTTGTTTATAACAATTAGTTGCAAAATTGATTTTTACAATGTGCTTTTTATGTCAGAAATGTTTTTATGCTCCAATCCTATTTTCAATAATTATTTTTTTATTCTTGTTGGTCTGGTCATGGGCAGAAACGAATTTTAATAAATACCGTTTATTATTTTTTTGCCTAAACAAAGAATGAGTTAAGAAGGAGTTATACGTATTTCTTTAGTAACTTTTCCTGTACAATCGATTAGCGTAATTAGTAAGTTTTCCTATACAATCAATTTTTAATAATTTATTTATAACAATTAGTTGCAAACTTGACTTTTACAATATGATTGTAATGTCACAAATTTCTGTTTATGCTCCGGCTCTATTTCCAATAGTTATTTTTTATCTATCCTTATTGATCTAGGCATGGGCTTTAATGAGTTAAACTCCAATAGCACACATTTCAAATGATCGTATCTTTTATAATATTGATATTTGGATTTTTTGTTTTGAAACTTTTGATCAGCACTACCTAAACTAAAACATATTTTAATTTCAACCAATTTGACCGAAATCATTTTTTCATATAAATATGCGGGATTCTTTATGAAAGAACTAAATTAATTAAATTTATTAAAGAAAAGCTGAAGGAAGTCAAATAGTTTTAGTTAGGTGCATGAACATAATATTAGTTAGATTAAAAGATGGATTTAAAAAATTAATTAGACATTTAAACATTATAAAACTTCGGAATTTTGATCTTAGATTAATATGTATACTTCTTAAATGTTCAACATTTTTTCTGAAATGTTGACATCTGTAATTTAATAATAATTTATAATGTCTGAGCGTGCAAATTTCAGGTAGCTTAACAATTAAATTTACATATATTTTATTTAAAACTGTTATAATTAGCATTTTAGTATTGGGAATCATTTTGAAATAATCTTTTAGGAATTTGCCATTATGGTTGTCACGCGAGGTCTCAAACTTTCTGTATATATGTGTTATTAAAATTTCATATTCATTTCATTAATTAATTTTTTTTTGTATTGCGACTGCTACCCTAAATTTGTCAATCGCCAATCTCGCAATCGATTACGCGGCCTAAATACGCACACCCATCCTCTCCGATTCGTCAGACACCGCCGTGAGCTTTAATTTGCGGAAGCCCTGCTGGTCGTTAAATCGGCACACTACGGCAACATTCCCACCAGTCGGCTGATTATTAATTCAAATTCGTTGGGCGCCAGGTACTCGGTACGTGCCACGATAATGCCGATACTTTAATTGTTCTCGTATGCAAACCGGAGCGCGGTGCGCGATGACGAAACGCACGGCTGCTCAATAATTACTTGATAGAGGGGTTTGATTTTCAGGGCACCTGTTCTGAGAAAAAAGAGAGAGAGATCAATAAATAATTAACAACGAGTCGAGTAACAATTAACAATTTTATTTAAGTAATTTATCAATTTTACAATTTCGTGACGAGTTTGCGACGTAAATCCTGTTCCGCGCGGACAACGCGGCACGCAACTGACCCGAAGATTGCGCGAAGCACACATCGATGATCGGTAGTCTCGAAACCGGCAACAATATTCACGGCAACTCGATTATGATTCTCTCGCGGCAATTCGCTATGACGAGCTTACGAACGGGCGGTCTCCACCGAGATTGATTATGCTAAATGTTAAGCATGCAAGCGGTATTAGATGCAGATAAAGTGGCAATAAGCGAACCGCAATTCTGAGCGAGCAACAGCACGCGTGCGAGAGGATACAACAGATAAGGCTCGCGATCGGAAAAAAGATTCAACGACAAGATAGAGAAAGAAATTAATAATTAACTACAAGATCAAGCGATACTACGTACGTGTGATTACGGACGGCAATAAATAGTGAACCGCAACCGCAACGAAACATCGTTTCGCGACATGGCCAATCAATGCTCGCGTAAGTGGAAAAGAAAAATATAATGCACAGCAAAAGATAACGATAACGAAGGTGACTTATTGTGGCCGCTGGGGGGGAGGCGGGACGTTGCCCCGAACTTCTTTCACGGTCGGACGGCCGACACAACTATCACAGGCACCGGCACTTATTTCGGGACACACTAACTCTCAATCATTCACTTCGCAACACTGGCATCATCACACTCGCATGACTCACTCGACAATAACAAGACGACGGAATTAGCGGCTTTACACAATTAAGCCTGGCTCCATCAACTACGCAGTTTTCACTCTCGGCAGCTTGTCGGTCCCGGAATCCTATGTCCTCTGCCCTCGCTCGCATCATGAAAAGTGATTTTTCGCGCCTTCGCGAGACGCATCCAAGCAATTGCTACCCTTCTTTCGCAGTCTTTGGGATCGCTTTGGCATCAGCCGAAAATTGGCTAATCGCGTAGCTCTAATCAACCGCGGGAGGTCCTCGCAGGAAACTTAAGTGCAGTAGCGTATGCAACAATCTCCGACCGAGATTCTTAGCCTCCTTTCTGTCTGATTGACATCCTTCTGAATTTTTCGTCCCAATTGGAGGGGAGTGCCCGCGGGAAACGTGCTTGGGGTCTTCAAGTTTTATTTTGTGGAGTGGCGCATTCCCCTGTACTGACTTCGCTCATTCCACCGATCGGTAACGGCAATTCTGAGCTACAAACAGATAAGTCTGACAGCAACATTTCTATTCCCGTTGGTACGGGTGCGATAAGTGCACACGTCGCATTATTATTCACAATATGGTCAACTGAAACATGTAGTTAAGTGGACATGTGATTATATTTTTATATTATTATATTATCGAGAGACACGGTCGTGGCTCGTCGCCAAATATGAACGCCAGCGCTTCAGGAGGACGAGACCGGCCGTGACTCCTTACGCGAGCCGACGAATTGCTGACCATCAAGATTATCGGATCTTAGTAACGACTGAACCGATCAATTTCTGAATAGGCGCAATCGATAGTTTAGGTTCGAATTATATAATAAAAGTGTTTTTAGTTTTCCTCTCCATGTCGAGCGGAGATATTACGATTCAAAGTTCGATACTTAGAAATTTACTATTAACGTCGTCATTATTGTCATTATTATCGTCGCCCTCCGTATGGACTACGGTTGCAATTTTCGCCAGTACGCGGCGGCGGCGATGAAGTCCTCAGCGCGAGATATGAATATTATATAATTTCAAAGTCATTTCGCAGTCTCTCTACATATTTTTTCTTTTCTTGCAACCGCTCCAGATATCTCCATCCATTTCGCAACTTTTCCGTAATCATTCCGCAATCATTTCACAATTATTTCGCAACTTTTCCGTAATTTATCTACGCAATCTTTTCGCATATCTCTGCAACTATTCTGCAATTTTCTCACAATTTCCGTATATCTCTGTAATCATTCTGCAACTCTTTTATAATTTTCCCGCATATCTTTGCAGCTATTTCGCAACCTTTCCACAACCATTCCGCAACTCTTCCGTAACCTTTTCGTATATCTTTGCAACTATTCTACAACCGTTCCGCATATTTCCGCGATCACTCCGCATTTCATAACTCTTTTGCAATCTTTCCGCACATCTCCGCAACCATTTCACAAGTCTCTCATAATCTTTTCGTAACTTTTCTGCAATTCCCGTGTATTTTGCACCTCTTCCGCAATTATTCCGCAACCATTCTGCAACTCTTCCACAATCTTTCTGCATCTTTGCACCTCTTCCGCAACTCTTCCGCAACCTTTCCGCAACTATTCCGCAACATTTCCGCAACTATTCCGCAACTCTTCCACAATCTTTTCGCACATCTTGCATTTCTTCCACAACACTTCCGCAACATTTCCGTAATTATTCCGCAACCATTCCTCAACTCTTCCACAATTTTTCCATATATCTTTGTACCTCTTCCGTAACTCTTCCTTTAAAATTTATCTACCGTTATTTTGAAAATTTTTATCTTTAATCAGCATTTGTATATATTTATTTAAAACTAAGATTTTGGTATAAGTGTGATCTTGAAATTCCAACATTATTTTTCAAGATCATTTTTCATTTTATTTTCATAATCTATAGACCTAAAGTCTAAAATCTTAAAAAATTTTGTACTTTAATTTTAAAACTTTTCTGCCGCCATTTTGAAAATTTATATTTTTAATCGTATGGACTTCATATTCGATATTTATTTAGGTTCGAACATTTTGGCATAGGTGTGACCTTGAAATTTCAAAAATATTTTCAAATCTTATTTTAATAATCTATAGACGTAAAGAATTTTAAATAACATAATTTTGTATATTAATTTAAAATTTTTCATTTTGAAAATTTTTATTTTTATTAATGATTTATGGACCTACACAAGTGATGTTAAAGTTTATAAAGATATAAAAAGGATTTTATTAATTAAATAGAAAGTTATTTGATATTACATAAAAATTAAAATATTTTACAAATATGGACAAGATTTTATCTAAAATCAAACTAACATACAATTTGGAACTATATGAGTTGTAATACGCCGATTTTATTGAAATTCAGTACATACATTTATAGAGCAACTAAATTATTCAATACTTAATATTAATATACTTAATGAAAAAAATTAATATTTAATTTTGATTTAAATTTTTAACTTACAAATATTTAGGAATTAATTTAACTTAACTGAAACCAAATTAGAGATAAATTACTGTTAATAATTCAAGTGAGATATAAAATTTCTAGAAATATATAAAATTAATCTATAAAATTAATAATATTATTAATACATTTATGTATTTGTTCATAATTTATTTAAAGTTTATATAATTTTCTTATCTTCAATATAATATTATCTTCAATATTATGCTTTAAATCTGTATTTAAGTTTGCTATAGTAACTTTGAAGTAATTATAAATTATAAACTAAAAACATATAAATTTTAAAGT